GCACGGCCGTTGCGCAGGGCGCGTCCCGGGTCACGTCCCCGGCCGTTGCGCGGGGCGCGTCCCCGGCCGCCGCACGGCCGTTGCGCGGAGGTGGCCGGAGCACAGGAAAGCGCAGCCGGACCCAAGGCGATAGCGACCGTGGCCTGGTCGAAAGCGCTGAGGCTCCTCAGGCATCGCTGGGTTTGGGGAACTCGATAGCGAATGGAAAGGCAAAAGAGAAGGTGTTAAAGGAGTTTTGATATCTCGGCTTTCTGCCTAAGGTTGATGCAAACTTTCCTCCTAGAGCTGCTCCGAAGGGTATGGTGCTGTCCTAGATAGGCACTAACTTTGCACTGTGGAACATACATTTTACATTCCCCTTTCTACTTGCTTTACTGCCTGCTCTGCATTTCATTTCCATGCAGGACTACAATTCAAATGTCATCGCGGTTCTGCAGTCCCTGTGGCACCAAAAACTGCTGCGGGTATCGCTTTGCTGCAGCTTTCTTGTACCCACGAGCCTCACATTAATCCCTTTCAAATATATATTAACTTAAATACTTGCAGACATGAGCCTGGATTTGTAAAGACTGCTGTTATTCCATTTTGATTCTTTTAATATTAAAACACCCTAGCTTCCTAACAGCTCCTCTAGTGTTCTGTTTCACTCTGAGTATCTAAATATAGTTTTGACTCTTTTTTCACATGTTCACCTGAACACCAGTCTCTCTAATGACTGTTACATGTGCTCATTGCAATAAGGAAGGTTGTGGGGGGAGAAGGAATTTTTAAAAAATCTTCAGATTAGATTTCAGGAAGAAATGCCATTAGCTTTTGACGAGAATATTTAGAAGTTTGCTATTAATGTTGCCCTCATTAGTCTACATATGTGCAATACTTCTAATAACTTATATCTAGAAAGCTGATTCCATTGTTTCTTAAAGATATTGTGAGGTATCTGATTCAGTCGGAAATTTGGCACATTTAACCTGCATGCCCTAGCTAGCAAAGGATAGTAGCTATCCTTTGAAAGCTGGAAAAGTCATCAGTGTTTGTGTGATAACAGTGAATTGTGTTGCTGGGAATGTTTTGCAGCCTTAATTTGTACCTTTGATTGTAAATTAATGCTTTGCCACATCTGACGTTATTGGATCAAATTGTATTACACATGCATCAGCAAATGCTTTTGGTACTCTTGCGTTTGTAGAAGTGTAATGCCACCTTTTTCTCTGTGCAGTAGGACTAAAATATGAGATTTCCAAGCTGTTATCTGTAGGAGTCTGTAACCTGTCCTTGCAAAATCAACATAAAACACTAACTGTAGTTGTACTAATGTAGCATGAAGAATCAAGTTGTGGTGAACTGGGTGCATTAAGTGCGTGTTGCAAAGGCCTCTATTTCTTATTTGCCTTTTTTTATACTCAGATATGAAGTAGTTACCTTTTTACTGTCCAGTAGCTTTAATACTTGTGCAGGGTAGTCATGAGCTCTGAGCACAGACTCCAGACATGTGTTTGCTGGATTGAGAGCTGTAGCTTTGATTTGCATTTATTTATTTGTTTTAATCCGGAAATACTATGCTGTACAAGCTTTATCTTTTTCCAAATATAACACATCAAATCCAATGTCTGTCTCCCTGTTCAAAGCACTAGTGGTAACATCTGTCCCAAGTAGATCAAAAAATAGATCAAAATTCTCCTTTTTGGGTAGTGAAACAGAGAAAACAGTTGGTGACTTCTGTCCAAGGCTGTGTAAAAAATGAGTGGAGTTGAAATTTGGGTTTCTCTGTCCTAATCTTCATCAAGAGGGGTAAAATGAGGCAGGAATTGCCTGCTCTGTGTTTACTGGAGCCTGACTGCCCTCTTACGTAGAGTTGAATATGCTGCAAGTGGCTGATTAAGACCTCATCTAGTCTAGTCAAGTAGCTGAAGGTGCTGTTGCTACAGCTCCTGATCTCTGCTATCCGCAGGCATCTACATTTAACTTTAATTGGACCTGCTGTGTAGGAAGGCTGGGGAAGCAAGCCAAAAATATGTGCAGGTAGCTTGTGTAATGCTAACTTGATTTTTATTTGATAAGCCATTTATAAAAGTCACACCATTTGAGGCACATAGTGACCTTTGCAGGTTCCATGAGCACAGGCTGAGGATGAAATTATTATGGGCCTGTGTTGAGGATTAAAAGGTAACTTTATTGACAGCATTATTTACTTGGAAAGCCTTTTTTGTTATTCAGGGCTTGCTTATTACAGCAGAGATTCTGTGCTCTGTCATGTAATGAACACAAACAGACCCCGTCCACACCGTGACTCTCGTTATGATGCAGCTGCAGCCATTGACTGGAGCTCATTTGAGAGATGGAGTAGGGGCGCTGGTCTCGAGTGCGTCAGGATCATGGGAGGTGTTTGCCTCACTTCTCCGGAGTAAATTTGATGTAGCAGACAAGAGGCGAGTTACTTGCTGTTTTCCCCTGCTTTGCTTTTCACTTTAATCTTCTACTTCCACAAGTAGAAGAATGATACGAGTTGTATTGGCCTCTATCCAAGTTGTTACTTTTAGTGGTGCTGCTAAAGACAAGGAGGGGGAGCACCCCAGGCCGAGGTGATGGA